TACTAGGAGCAAGGACGCTAGTAGGGGCTCCTGGCCATACTACTAGGAGCAAGGACGCTACTAGGGGCGCCTGGCCTTACTACTAGGAGCAAGGACGCTACTAGGGGCTCCTGGCCTTACTACAAGGAGCAAGGATGCTATTAGGGGCTCCTGGCCTTGTTACTAGGAGCAAGGACGCTAATGGGGGCTCCTGGCCTTACTGCTAGGAGCAAGGACACTACTAGGGGCTCCTGGTCTTACTACTAGGAGCAAGGACGCTACTGGGGGCCCTAGGAGGGGCTCCTGCTGGCCTTACTAGTAGGAACAAGGACGCTACTAGGGGCTCTTGGCCTTAATAGAGGGAGCAAGGACACTACTAGGGGCTCCTGGCCTTACTACTAGGAGCAAGGCCGCTACTAAGGGCTCCTGGCCTTACCAGTATGAACAAGGACGCTACTAGGGGCTCCTGGCCATACTACTAGGAGCAAGGACGCTAGTAGGGGCTCCTGGCCATACTACTAGGAGCAAGGACGCTACTAGGGGCGCCTGGCCTTACGGCTCCTGGCCTTACGGCTCCTGGCCTTACTACAGGGAGCAAGGACACTACTAGGGGCTAGGAGCAAGGACGCTACTAAGGGCTCCTGGCCGTACTACTAGGAGCAAGGACGCTACTAGGGGCTCCTGGCCTTACTACAAGGAGCAAGGACGCTACTAGGGGCTCCTGGCCATACTACTGGTAGGAAGCTAATAGGGGCTCCTGGCCTTACTACTAGGAGCAAGGACGCTACTAGGGGCTCCTGGCCATACACTAGGAGCAAGGACGCTACTGGGGGCTCCTGGCCACACTGCTAGTAACAAGAAGCTACTAGAGCCTCCTGGCCTTACTACTAGGAGCAAGGACGCCTGGCCTTACTACCAAGAGCAAGGACGCTACTAGGGGCTCCTGGCCTTACTACTAAGAGCAAGGACGCTACTAGGGGCTCCTGGCCTTACTACTAGGAGCAAGGACGCTACTAGGGGCTCCTGGCCATACTACTAGGAGCAAGGACGCTACTAAGGGCTCCTGGCCTTGCTACTAGGAGCAATGACGCTACTAGGGGCTCCTGGCCTTACTAGGAGCAAGGACGCTACTGGGGGCTCCTGGCCTTACTAGGAGCAAGGACGCTACTGGGGGCTCCTGGCCTTACTAGGAGCAAGGACGCTACTGGGGGCTCCTGGCCTTACTAGGAGCTAGGGGCTCCTGGCCTTACTAGGAGCAAGGACGCTACTAGGGGCTCCTGGGCTTATTACTAGGAGCAAGGACGCTACTGGGGGCTCCTGGCCTTACTACTAGGAGCAAGGACGCTACTAGGGGCTCCTGGGCTACTAGGGGCTCCTGGGCTAAGTTGGAGGCCACGGCCAGTAGGAAAGGAGCGGGCTTTTAGAAGACATGGTCTCCCCATCTCACCTTCCAAGGTCCATGGTAGCGTCCGGTGGCCCAGTCCGTCGCCCAAGGAACCCGGAGGAAGTCCGAAACTGAACTTTCTGCTCCCACCTGGCGAGGTCAGAAAAGGAGAGAGTGTTTTTATGTGTTTTTTCTTGGTGACACCTGTCCAGAAGTCCCAGAACACTTTGTCCAGCTGCCAAAAAACATGCAAAGTGAATAGGCGGCACATGTGTTTGAGAAAAAAGAGCAGTGACTGCGTTCTTTCTCGCTTCTTTTGGAGTGCTCACACGATATCTGAGGGTGCAACAGATTTAAAATACCTGACCAGCTACCTACCTACCTCCCTGCCTATCTACCTACCTACCTAGTTCCTGTACACGACTATTTGACCTATAGTATGCTTCGGAGTATGGCAGAATCAAGAACTAGAACATAAAGCAAACTTTTTTGACAGTGCTTCTCCATTCACGTTTCCGGTTGCCCGTTTAGAAGTTCTAATCTGATTGGAAGTCTAAGTATTTTAGAAAAGCATTGGTGGAGGCCATCGCTCTGAGGTTGGAGGCCATCGCTCTTAGGTTGGAGGCCAAGCTGCTAGTAGGTTCCGGCCTTCCTTCTTGGAGAATAGGCCTTCGCCCCATGACCCCAGTAGATCCACTGCTACCGAGAAAGCCAGTAGATCCATCTGTGCCGGAAAAGGAACCACCTCCGATCCGTTTTGGGTTGACACATGCTGACACCATTTTCTGAAACTCACTTTGCAGTCTCATCGGATCCTCACACATAAATGCAAAACTCGATCATTTGGTCAGTGTTTGGTCCTTCTGTACTTTTTGTGCTTTTGATGGTCCTTCTGTATTTTGATATCTTTAGATGGGCAGGACACATGACCTTTCCACCGAAACATGCGGCCTTAGCCTTCGCAAGACCTTTTTCATGGAAGTACGCATTCACAGGTCTTTGTTTGTTTTGTTTTTCCTTAAGCTACTAGTAGCAAGTGCATCGCTAGCTAGAAGCTACGTGTAGCGATGCACTTGCTATTTGTTTGCTTTCTTTTTCGGAACGGTCGCCACGGAAGCTGCTTCCCGGTCGAACACACGGAGCGCACATCGCCAGGCCCAGGCCGACGGAGACGAAGGAACAAAGCACCTCGACGCTAAGCTTGGCAGGTCGAAGGGTCGAAGGGTCGAAGGGGCGGCCTCGCGACTCGAGTCCGGAGCGTTCGGACGCGACTCGAGAACGGGGCTCCTGGCATCGCTACGAGTCCGGAGCGTTCGGACCCTATGAACGGGGGCTCCTGGTAGTCACAACATGTGTCACAACATTTAGCCTGTGCTTGAAATAGCGATGGCCTCCAACCTAGTAGCAAAGGACGCTTGGACGCTCGATGTTGCTTTTTTGCAAGTTGACCTGCCATGCCCTGCCTCCTTATACATTAATTAAGTAGGTGGTTACCTAAGTATGGGCAAGATAGCTTACTAAGTAACCACGCAGGATAGCTCATGCACTATTCATTTGGTTCCTAGATTCTTGGCAAATAACTTGGCTCCTTCTTTGAACTGCGAGGCTAAATGGATAACATTGGATAACTCAACCCTACTACTACTGTGGATTGATTAGTAGGTGATCGACAACCAATCACCGGATGTCTGACCTTGATGCTCATCGATGTTTCGTCTTCATTGTCTCAGAGGTCTTGAGGTCAAACATGTCACTCTTCACATCTGAAATGTCACTCTCCGCGGTCTGGGTGTTGAGAAACATCATGAAACATCCTACTGTTTACGAACGATTTCCTCCACCAGCTGGGATATGCAATCGTCTTTCTGGGCAATGCAGCAGTGCAGGTTTCTGCCCACCAAAGTGTGACTTGTATCATTCAAGTTCTGTTCACATCTGTTCACAAACATCTGATCACCTAGCTATCATCTGATCCCTGACTCCTCTTCTGCGACCCCTTATCTTTCGCCTTTCGCAAGCACCCATTTCAATTCGATGCATGGATGAACTTCCCTTCCAACCAAATCGACATCACGCCAGGACGTCCCGAGTGACGACAAGTGATGGCCGGCTGCGGTGAACCGTGGCTCTGTCCTCACTGGTTCCTTCGGACTCGGTGAACGATGATGCAACGCCCTTCCGAGGGCAATGGTGCCAAAGTCCGATGTGGACCCAATGGATCATTCTGGAAACTTAGGAAGGACTTCAATTCGAATAGAAGGTTCAATTGAAATGGGCGTGTCGACCGGTCTGTGCACCCCTGTTCGACTGCATGCAGCCAAGTCGGTTTTCGGATCACTTCAACTCACAGTCCCTCGGGGGTCCCTCAGTGGCCCCATATGTCAAGATACTCTGCGTGACAAACCAAACGCAGCTGAAGGCCTGCCACAAAGCTCAAGCGGCCTTCTTTGGCCAAGAGATTCCGTCCTCTCAAGCCCCGAACGTTCGTAAGCGTAAGCGCTTCATGTCATCATTTCCACCGTCTCTCTTCAATTGGTGCTTGGCACTCTCTTCAGAGCACTTCGCAGTTGTCCGTGTCAATGTCCTCGATCCACACGACCATCGCCAGTAGGGTTAGAGGCCATTCCTATTAGGTTGGAGGCCACCGGCGGCCACCACGGGATCTTTTCCTCATGAGAGTCACATGATCTGAAGAACAAGCTGCCAATGACGTGTACTCCCTCGACCCCCTTGGATCCCCCCGACACGACGGACAGGTCTCTCATTCGGTCCCTGCCAGGGTCTCCCTATTAGGACAAACCCCTGCGTGACAATCCTTTCTCGAAGAAGTCTTCGTAGACCCACAGGTGAGAAACATCTTCATCCGAAAGAAGTGCCTTTGATTTTGAGGTCTTGCTTCACCGAAAAACGTGGGAAACTCAACCAATCCCCTGATGTTTGGATTTCGTGTGGATTCCAATGAACCAAGCGGAACATCCTCGGTCCCCAGGCTGGGGCCGAAATCGGACTCGGTGAAACGATGAGTCCTTGATCCGAGTCGGCCTCTTTCCGATTGGACGAGATCCACGACTTTTCGCTGTCCCATTTGAGTCTCCAGGCAGAGATTCTCAGAAGGCTTGCTGCATGTTCCAGTTCAATGCCTGCACGTGAAGCACGCAAACTGGAAAATGTGTCTACTCTCTTTGGTATCATTGGGCGCGCGCGTGCCTTGCATGGGATAGCTTGAGGGCAATCCCAAACAGTACTCTCCCGCTCACTCAGATAGGAGCAAGGACGCAACTAGGGGCTCCTAACGCGCGCAAAAGGGTCTTCCCACGGCCTCAGGGTGTAGCCAACAGTGGCTGACAGATGAGGGGTCCAGCTTGTGGCTTCTCTTTCCAGTCAAACACCAAAAAGAACACTGCGGGACTTAAATCAACAAACACCCAGACAACAGGGCGTTGGAAAGAAGGCTTTCATTGTTAGGGTCGCTTGTTGGGTTATTGAGTGCATTCTTTTATTGGCGAAGCATTCCGTGGCCTCTTCCAACCTAATAGCAATAACCTAAGAGCGATGAATGCCTCTGTTCTTCTCAGTTAGCTTCAAATTGGGACTCCTTCCACTTTGGAAAGTTGACCACTGTTTTCACTGTGTGGGTGGTGGTTGATCCCGTCCATGGACTTGTGAACCAGGGTATACCATCCAATGTTCATGGACATGAATGGAAGTTCAGAACATCAAAGAACATGCACAATTTTTGGAGTTCCTTTCTGGAAGAACATCATAAATACTTCGTAATCACCCCCAGACATCCTTCATCTAGACCTGGACCCAAACTCAACGCCTTCACCAAGTAAGGGCGGGGCAACGGCGGGGCGCAACCGAACCCGACACCGGTGACACGACGCCGGACCAAGCGCCACCTCCGGGGATCGCCCAGATCACCAGGGCATAGAGCTGCACCAAGGAGTTGGGCGCCGACTCCAGGATCGCCTTGGACAGTCGACGGAGCGGCGGAACGGCAGAAAGACACAGAACCGAGACCCCAGAACCAAGATCGCGGCGTGTCTTCTTCTTTTTGGGCTTCGAGATCCAAGATCCGTGGTGCTTTTTGGGCGTCACGGAGGGGGCCGGGAGCCCATCTCCGGAATTGAGTTGAGGAATGCACAGGGTGCGAACAAAGCCAGTTTGGTGTTGGTGGGTGGGGTGGATTTGATTGGTGAGATGGGGTGCTTGAGGAATTCTAGATGGCAATAGCTGAGTCGATGACTGTTCATCTGGAGGCTCACACCACACAGAATCTGTTGAATCAACGAAGCAACCACTCTTTTACAGCACATGTCGTCATGTCGCATATCACCAAATGTTCCAGTCTTGACCGTGTCAGACCGATGTGGAACATCACTTGAGGCACCCCTTTGGCATCGCATCAGCAACCGCCGAACATCGCAGAAAACCACCGTGTGCCAGTTCTTGTCGCGTCCAGTGTCACCTGAAATGGTAAGACCTCGACGCTTGGAACAAACTTATTTATAATGTTTCTAATAGCTTCTTGTTATTACTAGTAAGGCACTTGTTTCTAATAGCTTCTTGTTACTACTAGCAAGGCACTTGTTACTAGTAGCGATGCACTTGTTACTAGTAGCGAACGGGTCGGTGGATGGCCCCTCGCACGTCAAAGGCATTTAGACATTTACCAATCTGATGTGGGAGGCCTTCGCTACTAGAGTGGAGGCCATCTCTAGATACAAAGAAAAAGAACCGGAAAAAAGGTGTAATATAATTCAGTACTAGGTTGGAGTCCACCGGAAGCATGTCGAGTCATCAGTCCTCCCAATCTCTGACATACTCGGCTTCGCCTGGTTTCGCCAAATGCTCTTCAAATTCCAGAAATGTCACACATTTCCCCATGAAACGTGAATTAGCAGTAGGAACAAGTGCATCGCTACTAGGAGCAAGGGCCTTACTAGTAGTAACAAGGACGCTTCTAGGAACAAGTGCTCATCACTTCCGGAATCGCTTCCAAAACGGCGCCGCTCGCTCGCTCCCGCCTCCATGAGCCTCAGGGTGTGGAAGTAGTCAGTGTCACCGCTGTAGAAGATACACCGGTAGGCCTGACAGGCGCTACTAGGAGCAAGGACGCTACTAGGGGCTCCTGGCCTTACTACCAAGAGCAAGGACGCTACTAGGGGCTCCTGGCCTTACTACTAGGAGCAAGGACGCTAATAGGGGCTCCTGGCCTTACTACTAGGAGCAAGGAAGCTACTAGGGGCTCCTGGCCTTACTACTAGGAGCAAGGACGCTACTA